AGAAATGACTTCCGAGGAACACAACGCCCTATTACTTCAGGATCCTCGAATGAGAAAATCTTCCACCGCAAATCCAGATTTCATTCAACAATACTATTCTGAAAGTAGGCTTCACCATCTATCGACTTGGAAAGCGGAGTTAAAGTCAAGGATGCAAAGGCTTGCAGCTGAGAAGGGCCCTCAGAAAAAGCCAATGAAGAGAAAAGCAGGCGCAAGGCGGTACATAATGCACGTCGACTTTGACAGCTTTTTCTGTGCCGTGTCTCTAAAAAGCACGCCTGACTTCGTCGATAAACCTGCTGTTGTTGCGCACGGTACGGGAACAGGGTCAGAAATCGCAAGTTGCAATTATCCAGCTAGAAAGTACGGAGTCAAGAACGGCATGTGGATGAAGCAAGCTAAAGAACTATGTCCCGATCTCAAGGTGCTCCCATACGACTTTCCGGCGTACGAAGAGGCCAGCAAACTATTCTATGAGTGCATCTTGGAGGTTGGTGGCATCGTGCAGAGCGTCAGTATTGATGAAGCTCTGGTGGATGTCACCTCGGTGGTCCTATCTGGAGTGGGTTCAGACGGGTCCGGAGTTGATGAAGGCAATATATGGAGAGAGCAGGAGAAAGCGAATCAGATGGCGCAAGCGTTACGAGATCAGATTAAGGAGAAAACAGGATGTGCTGTTTCTGTTGGGATTGGTAACAATATCCTTTTGGCAAAGGTCGCTCTTCGAAAGGCCAAACCAGCAGGCCAGTATCAGATCAAACCGGAAGAGGTACTAGACTTTCTTGGCGACCTGAAAGTTGATAGCCTGCCCGGGGTTGCGTATAGCATCGCAGGCAAGCTCGAAGAGATTGGAGTCAAGTTCGTGAACGATATCCGGCAAACCTCCAAAGAGCGCCTCATCAATACCCTCGGGCCGAAGACAGGCGAGAAGCTCTGGGAATACGCCCGTGGCATCGATCGAACCGAAGTTGGCGAACAACCAATACGCAAGTCGGTCTCGGCCGAAGTGAACTGGGGTATCCGGTTCATTAGCCAGGAGGAGGCCGAGGAGTTTGTGTTCAACTTGTGCAAAGAACTAGAGAAGCGTCTGCTTAATGAAGGAGTCAAAGGCAAACAACTCACGATGAAGATTATGCGACGTTCGTTCGACGCACCGCTCGATCCACCGAAACATCTAGGACACGGCAAATGCGATACCTTCAACAAGAGTGTCATGTTCGGCGTCGCGACGAACGACCACCAAGTACTAGGAAAAGAGGCCGTCTCGATCCTCCGTTCCTACAAGTTCACCCCCGGCGATCTTCGCGGCCTAGGCGTGCAGCTGACCAAACTCGAACCGCTCAAGACTTCACTGTCCGGTCCTGACAGCAGCCAGAAGAAGCTAAGCTTTGGCGCTTTTCGTGCTCCCGGCTCTGCCAGAAAGCCAGCTTTAGACCCAATACAAGATGGCAACGGCTTGGAAGAATCGAATTCGAAACCAGCAAGAAACGAGTCGTCAGACCCGATCACCGAGAGCCCCTTGACGCCTAGAAAACCCAAACCAGACCCCCGGCACTCCATGTTCACGATAGCTCGAGCAAGCGAGACAGACGCTAAAGCCAATACCCCCCTGAATATCAGCGGGACTCAGTTCATCATGCCATCCAACCCCGATCCCGCAGTGATTGCGGAACTTCCTCCCGATATTCGAAGCAGACTCATGAACCAAGCCAACAGCAGAGCCATCTCTGAAGCCCGCGACAAATCACCGGCTGCAAAATCTCGGACGCAAAGCCCTGCCCCCTTCGACGGGATCCCGCCCGAGATCGACCCGGAGGTCTTCAACGCGCTGCCAGACGACATGAAAGCCGAAGTCCTCGAGCAATACCGGCCGCGGAGCAGGCAGCAGAGCGTGCTCCCGCAGTCGCCGCGCAAAGATCGGTTCATCCAGCCGCCGAAACAGCGGACGCCAACGAAACGTCGAGGCGGCGGTCGGGCCCGCGAGAGACACGCCGATGCCAACGCCAAAGTCGTCCAAACCAATTTCCTCTCCTTCAAGCGACCACAGCAGGCACAAACCGTCGACGCGGGCCCAAGCCCCGCCGCTGCAGATCTCCTCGAGGACATCGACCCGGCCTTCCTCGCCGAGCTACCAGAAGACATGCGCAAAGAAGTCCTCGCCGACCACCGCCGGCGACGCCTACAGCAACGCTCCGGCCTGGACATGGCGAAGCTGAAGAAGAACCAGCCAACCGCCGCCTCCACCTCCACCTCTGCCGCTCCTGGCCAGACACGTCTCCGCTTCGACGCGCGACCGGCCAAGATCGCTTTCACGACGGACGGCCTGACGAGCATACCCGAGATCCGGGACATGCTGAACGTGTGGCACCGGGAGACGCGCGACGAGGGCCCCCACGCCCGCGACGTCGACATGCTCGAGCGGTACCTCGTCCGCGTCGTCGCCGACGAGAGGGACATGGACAAGGCGCAGAAGCTGGTGCGGTGGCTCGAGTATTTAGTAGAGGATAGCCACGACGATGAGGACCAGGATATCGGATCCCGCGGGAAGGATGCGTGGCGGGACGTCGTGGGGCAGGTCAAGCAGGAAGTGCAGAAGGCGGTGCGGTCGAGGGGGTTGGGACCGTTGGAAATGTGACATAACGACTATGGAATCAGTCTCTTCCGGTTTTATATATATATGCTCACGAGCACCATGATAATAAGATCTTCAAGGAAATCACAAAATGTCTTGCCATGGCCCAGTGAATGCCCGAACAAAAAGGAGTGACTGTAATTATTAAGATAGGTGTCTATCTAGCGCTGCTTCGAGAATGAATGTTCTTCCGTACGATACTATTACCAACCTTCCCCAAAGACATCAACCAATTAACCCCCATTAGTTCCACCTATCCCTCTCCAGCTGTATTAATTCGAAAAACGTCAATTGCGAACAGCAAAAAAACGAACGTTGGGGCCCCGAGAGGACAACGCTAGGTAAAGGAGTGCGGTGTGTAGAATCAGACACAACAGAAACGCTCGTACTTCTGACCGAGACACGAGTTGAAACACCAACGAATACCAACGAACATCAACGAACAAGTGAATGACGGCCACCTGCAGTGGCAACAAGGTTCTCAAACACGTCCTGGACTTAAAGGAGTCCAGCACCGATGGCGAGGGTTACGGCGAACACGAGGACGCCGACGCCGACGGCCTGCAAAATGGCTTCGTCCTTGGGCGCGTTGTCTTCGCCGCTGCGAGATCCGTCGTCTCCGCTCTTGTCGCCGTTGCCCTGGCCTCCGTCGCCGGGTTTGTCTTCCTTCTGGGTGACGTTGTAGACGGAGAGGGCGAGGTTGCCGCCGCAGGCCGTCTTGTTGGAGCCGGCGCAGGGGGTGTCGCAGACGCTGTCGGGCAGGTGGAAGCTGTGGCGGGACAGGGCGCTGCCGCAGTAGCACTCGTGGGCGAACTCGATGGCGGCGAACGACCAGCCGACGCCGTTGGGGCCGCGGCCCGGGTTCTTGGCCGTCTCGCAGTACTTGATGCACTTGGGCACCGTCATGGCGCGGGCCAGGTTCAGCGACGGGCCGTCGAAGGCGTGCGCCTGGCCCGGGAACTCCGTCGTGTCCGTCCAGCACCCCGCGTACTTGTACACCGGGTCGTCGTCCACGATGTGCAGGGTGCCGTTGCGGACGGCGCCCTCGGCCTCGTCCGCCGACACGGGGCCCACGTGGGTGCTGTTGGGGACGGCCGTGGCCGCGGGGAACTTGGTGGTGATGGTGGAGGTTACGGTAGTGGTTACGAGCTCCGGCGAGTCGGCGAGCACAAGAGGCGGGAGGCTACCTAGGAGGGGAATTGCACCCAGCGTGAAGACGCTGGTGAGGCCTACCGCAGTGCCGAATGGTGCCATCGTGCTGCTATGGATGGTGGTATGCTTGGAAGTAAAGAGGCAGGGACTTGTTTCTCAAAGATGGCGAGAGCTTGTGAACGGTGGAGAGGGCTGTGGTTCTCGCCCCGGTCGTTCAAGATTGGCTTGAGTGTTCTCTGAGAGACGGGTAATTGACTGGAGTCCTCGTATGAATGTTGATCGTAAGATAATTCTCTCGAGCAAGATGACTTCGGTAGCAAAATTTGTGATGATAGTGCGATGATTCTTTGGAATATTCTCTGAAATGCTATCGTTGTCGGTTGATGTAAAGAAGAGGAGAGATTCTCGTCCGGGGTCGAGAATAAAAGTAGACCTCACCTCGCTGTCCATCGAGAGCAAGAGCGACATGAGTCTAGGCAATGGCTATGGGGTGAATATGGATGAGGAAACGGACACCAGGGGCCCTCCACCCACTGCCCACCCCTTGCCGCCCATGACTATGGACTAGAGAAGCTGCAACGAATATGAAGTGCCTAGCTACAATAGTTCGTAGCTATGGGAATGCAATGACGTTGCTACTTCTTCTGATCTCTTTCCTCGTTTGGTGCTCATTGACCCGTGCCAGACTGCACATACAAGACTTGCTCTTCCTCAAATCCGGGAGGAAGTATTTTCTACCGTGTAACGAAATGATACCACTGCTTCAGCCTCGCAACAGAGAAAGTATAAGGCTTCTGCATATTGAGTGCGCATACCTTAGGTACATTATAGGCGAATAGGCTGATAGCAGCATCGAGCTCGACTTGCAGAAATAGGAATGTGAAGCCTCTCCTGCTAAGGTTGTTTGCTATTCCAGTAGGAAGGGTTATGATAAGATGACGGGAAGGCCGACAGGTAGTACATACCAGTACCCAATCTGATAGTTTAGGCCAGTATTGGCACGCAATGTTACTTCTCAACGAGTTATATTTACACGGGATGAAGGGTATCGCAGGTGTAAGCGGAGCCATGTCTCTCAGGGGGTGCTTGCTGTCAAAGTGACACCTATGACTCAACACAGCACCCGTGCTAGGTGTAACCACCCGTGATCATTGCCATATAATAGATAATTCAAGAAGCACTTTCACAGCAACACGATGGAGAGCGTCAATCGTAGAGCACCTTGGCGCAATGGAAGCGCGCCGTACTCATAACTCAGAGATTCGGAGGTACCCCGATCGATACGGGGAGGTGCTACTTCATACTTTTGCTTTCCCCCCCCCTTTTCTATAGGTAGCCCTTTTCGGGGAGGCTAGAAGAATCTTTTAGCTTGTATCAATATATCCAAGCCAGGATATTGATTTTCTTTGCGGCTTTGCTCGTCGCCAAGCTAATATACAGCAGGGCCATATGCATTAGCTATGGGGGTCGTCGTTAACAACCCAGCTTCCCACTAGTCTCATGGCTTTCTCGTCCCCGTCTATCAGACGCTCGTCTCGTAGCGTGTCCGAAAGACATCTCCAGGGGTCTCGGCTTCCTCCCCACTTGAGTAGATTCTCCTTCAGCCTTTCACCATTTGCTCGGTCAAGAGCCGCTCCGTTTTGCCCTGCCGAGAAGACGACTTGCCACACGCGCCTGGAGAGCACTTGGTCGAAGAGGTAGCTATAATACGTGCTGCCGTATCCAGATAGGTGGCCGAAGAAGCCCTGCCATCTGGTTCCTGGCGGGTCCGATGGGAGTTTCCCGAATTTCCTCTGGATACCTAAAAAAACTTCTGTTGAGTCGAACTTATCCTGGGACGGGAGAGACGAGTGATACTGCTGGTCTAGCATGGCCAATATGATCTGACTCTCCCTCTCTGAGGCTTCGAACCTTCTAGCGACGTGAAGCTTATCTACAACCATTTTGTATGGTAGTGGTTCGTCTGTAGCATAATGTCTCGCGAACAAGCCAAGAACAGATGGGTCTGCACAGAAGTGTTCCATCAGGGTAGACGGTAGCTCTGCCAAGTCAGTCGCACATCGCGTTCCGGCAACATTTTGCAAGGAGGTCCGAGCCAAAATCGAGTGGATGGCATGTCCCATTTCGTGGAAGAGCGTTTCCATCTGATAGTAATCTAGGAGGGCGGGTCCTTTGTGCCCCTGGTTTTCCTCAAAATCACACACGAGTGCGATTGTTGGCAGCTGTTTGATAGTACCAGATTGACGGGATACATGCATCCCATCATTTGCTGCTTCAATGGGCGACTCGAATGTAGGCAACCCTTCGACTTCGACTCCGGCTCCGTTTCGCTCCGCTGCCTCCAGAATCTCGCCCTCTAATATCTCTCTAGAGCAGCGGACAGTGAAATGCGCCGGGTTGGGGGATTTGTCATCCCGGTAGAAAAGATCGCAATAGAGGACTGCCACGTGCCCATCGGTATCAGACACAACATCTAGGCGTCTTACATCTGGATGCCACGTCTCCCCTGGCAAGGTATCTCGAGGAACAAATCGGATCCCATATAAACGGGTAAACAACCTCGACAAGCCCTGCATGACAGTTCCAAGTGAGAAATAAGCCGATAGAAAATCGTTTTTTCGTCGCCGAGATCTCATAGACAATCGTATGCTCTCCATATAATAGTCTTTATCCCAAGGCTGAAGCTCGGTTGCGGCGCTTTGTTGTTTTTCATTCTTCTCCCTAAGAAGGCCTGCGACCTCTTCCTCGACGAGTGGCGCATTGTGTTTAGACAGGGCTAGAAGGAACTGATGAACCGACTCTGGAGTCTTTGCCATCATCTTATCGTGAAGAGCCATCTGGCCGTAGCTCTCGAAGCCCGACAGCTTTGCAAGTTCAGCGCGCGACTTTAGCATAGCCTCCAAGACCTGAATTGATCTGCCAGAGGCTGTTCGAGTTGCGTAGTAAATGGCCTTCCTTGTGTCCTCGTCATGGACGGTCCTCAATGCCATAGTCGCTTCAGGAGACAGAATCGGCAGGCGAATTGTGCCTCCTCGGGTGTACCTCCGAGCCATTTGTGGGTTCATGCCATAAAACTTGCTGCTTGGGAAGTCGAGGAACCTCTGCTCGGGTTGCATATATTGGACGAAGTGTGAACCCAGTTCACTAATACTCTGCGATAGATCTACAAACTGATCTCGTGACTCTTTGGGGAGATGTATTGCTGACTTCATAAAATCCTGTTGTAGTAGTGTTGCAACAGTTTGCTCCTCCTCGTTCCAGCTAGCCATCACTTCTGGATTAGCTAGAGCCTTTCCTAGCTGGTCACTTAGGCCCGTAGTAGTATTCAATTGGTTCATGTACTGATAGACCAACGACCACGCCTGCGATGCGGCCGCCTGTGTTTTTTCGTCGGGATGGGTAACCCGCACGAAGTCTGACACATCCAAGACTCGACATAGTAGATCGCTCAGTCTGTCCAGATCTCGGACGATGGCCTTGAAGTCCTCTAACGTGGATGCATCGAGTACCTTGTCAACCAACTTTTGCGCTCTATTTATTGTGACGTTTGCGAATGTGAGGAACCCTTGCGGCGAGGTCAAGTACTTGTTCCTGAATAACCCAACATTTTCGCCGCTTGTAACCTTGAATAAGGGCTTTGAGAAGTCTTTAAAAGCCGGCGAGTCGAAGATATGGCGCAATAGAGAGTCGTCGTGTGTGAGGTCGGTAGGGGAATAGTCGATCGGTATATGGGGTGTGTCGAGTTGCACAGCACTGGGCGCAGAAGAGAGCCAGCGCCTCGGTTGGTGTCTAGCTCGGGAAGTTTGTCGAAGACATCTTGAGCAGGTCCAGAGACCCGAACGGATAGTCTTGATCATGACGCAACCAACATTATCAATAGCCTCGGAACGAAACAAAGCTGCAACCTCATGTAAGTAAATATTTACAAGAAAAGAAAAGAGTATAAAGTGTGCAAAGGCATTCGCTCATCAAACGGCAAGCGACGGTCTGAATTGCCATCTAATCCGCCAAGGTACAATACAAAATTTCACCGAAGGTTCCCCGGTCCGGGATTGGCCGTGAAAAAAAAGGTACGGGTCCCCACTGCAGTACGTATATGTACATCATCGTTGTGGAATCCAGACTGCAACTTTTGAAGCTACCAACTTTTAATCTCAGTCATCATAAACGTCAATTGAGCGCAACATGGCTGCGAGAGTGCTGCTGCGACGGGTAAGTTTCGCAATTAAATACTTAATTAAGCTATTATGATACTAATTACTTGAAAAAACAGCGCGTCGCCGCGCCTTTCATGGCCGCAACTCTGGTCGGAGGAGCTTTAATTCCCTCGGTAGCGATGGCCGAAGCACCATCACACGACTACGTACGAATAGCCTCACCTTAACCCTTCACGGGCTACTTTCCACTAACTGCATACACCAATAGCATTCTAAGAAACCTATATACGACGATTACGAGACTTTCCTATCCCCTAAAGCCAGCCAGACGCCAGTCCCTTCCCCAGCCTCCGAGACCATACCAACTACATCTTCTCCATTAGAACAGACACATAAACCGCACAGCCCGACACCGACGGACAGGCTAGCGGTGGAGATAGGCAAAGCCCGGCTCTTCCTATACCGATACGCCACGGCGACCGAAGATGCCGTCAACAGCACCATCGACTCGGCCTTCCACCTGGAGCAGTCCTTCACGTCGACCATCGCCTCGCTGGCGCCGGCGCGCGAGACCGGGGAGCAGCTGATGCCGGGGCTGGTGTACGTGCTAGTAGCGTCGATGGCGGGCAGCATCATAACGCGGAACCGCAACGTGCTGCTGCGGGCCTCGGTACCCCTAGCCTTCGGCGTCGGCGCCGGCTGGCTGCTGATCCCCGTCACCATGACCAACGTGTCCGACCTGCTCTGGCGCTACGAGAAGAGGTTCCCCGCCGTCGCCGACGCCCACCTGCAGACCCGGAAGAGCATCCAGGACGCCTGGCGCTTCGCCAGGGTCCACGTCGATGTCGGCAAGAACTACGTCGACGAGAAGGTCAGCGACGCCCGGGATGTCGTCGAGGGCTGGGTGAAGAAGGGCAAATAAATACCTAGAGAGAAGACCGCTTTCCCGAAGACCTCCTTGTACCATAGATGAATAGACACAAAATTCCCTTTGTCAAAGCCCTGGAAGCGACGCCAACTACTAAGGACGATTGTCTAATCATGATGGGAATTACACGGTTTTATAATCGAGCTAAGGTAGTCTAAGCTAAGTCTACCATTTTCAAATATCACGAGCTTTTCCCAAACCGGATACTTCTCGACCAGTCGTAATCCTGGTAATTTGGTATCAACGTATGTACGTCTAAGTGAGTAAATACAAAAGCATTGGCCTCTTAGGAGCCACCGAACGAATCATGTACAAGGTGCGCAGGGCAATGCTCTATCCTTGCTTAATCCTCTATACCAACGCCGTGGTGAATGCCCGCCCGTCTATGTGTAATCCTATCCTCTTCTAGCTTTCGTATCCTCATATCAAAAACTCTCCACATCAACCTTCGTCTCCCCCTGCCTGAGAAAACTCAACGTCCTCTCGTACGTCCACATGGTAACGGCGCTCGCGGGCGCCGCCTTGAACAAGCTGACAGGCAGCCCCCGGTACAGACCCCTGACGCCCTCGCGCGCGAGGATCGTACGCATGGTGCTGACGGTGCCGGCGTACTCGGGGATGTTCTTGTGGACGTAGCGGCTGCGGGTGGGGCCCTGGACCTGGATGCGCTTGCGGACGAGGTCGAGCGGGAACACGCCCGTCTTGGCGACGACGCTGGCGGCCACGCCCGCCGTCGCGTCGCCCACGCCCCCGGGTAGCTCGAGGCGGCTCAAGGGCAGGCGCGCGCCCTCGTACACGGCGAAGAACATGCCCATGGAGGGCACGATGAGGGCGAGGGCGGGCGCGAGGCCGCGGAAGAACCCGCGCGCGCCCTCGTCGCGCCAAATGTCGCGCACGGCCCGCCACAGCGAGCCGTAGACGCGGTCGTTGCCCTGGGCCGCGAAGCGCGTGCGCAGCAGGTCCAGCGGGTACGTAGACGCGGTGGCCGCGGCGCCCGCGGCGGCGCCGCCGACGAAGGACTCGACGGCGTGCGGGAGCTTGGGCTTGGTGTCGTCCTCGCCGAGGGCGCGGCGCAGCAGCCGCGTGACCGACCGGTACGTGGTGAACTGGATCGAGGCGTAGGCCACGTACATCATCTCGGCCGGCACGTTGCCCTTCCACAGCGCGGTGACGCCCTCATTGCCCACGATGTGCTTGAGGGTGCCGACGGT